GGACTTGGAAGATGGACACTTTTGCTCTTTGCCTGCTTGCTCTTGCCTTGCTAGCAAGTCCATTCCTTCTCTGGCATTACAGCCTAATTCTTTGGGATTCCAGCAACTACTGAAGACCAGCTGAGACATCCAGCCTTGTAGACTAAACAACTTCTGGATTCTTGGACTTCCCATTCATAGCTAGCCATTGTTGGATTAGTTGGACCATAGCTTGTAAATCATTCTAATAAAGCCCCTTTCTATATATACAGAGAGATTCATTCTTTAAGTTCTATTTCTCTAGAGAACTCTAATACAGTACTCAAATTGGGAAAAATCTAATTAATCTAATTAAAAGTAAGTAGCTGAGTAAATAAACATCACTAGGGATTGGGCTCTGTGTAAGAGCACTTGATTAGCATATAGAAAATCCCTAAATTCCGTCCCTAGTACTGAGAGACAGTGACAGCAAAAATCACGTTGCATTTAGAGTCATGCTAACTAGAACTTTGCTGACTTCTCATCAGAAATGCTATAGTGCAGGAGATGCAGCCACACATGCTAAACCGATGAAAGAAAGACGCCATCTACCCAGACTGGACTCTACAAGAACACTTTCACAAACAAAATGAGCTAGGTGTGGTCCATAATACCTGCAGTTCCAGCTCTTGGGAGGCAGAAACAGGATCACACTTGAGTTCATGGCCATCCTATTGTGCGATATTTTGTTTGTGTTCTGATAAATAAAGCTTGCTGGAGATCAGAGGTCGCGGAGCTGGAGTTAACCATAGAAGCTGGGCCGTGATGGCTCCTGCTTTTAATCCCAGCACTCAGGAGGTGGAGACAGGAAGTGATAAGGTGGGGTGGAGACAGGATCTCATCCCTTTTGGTTGGAAGATCTGGGGAGGTAAGAGGTCACTGGTGGCTGCTCCTGTTTCTCTGATCTTTCAGGTTGTTACCCTGATATATGACTCCTGGTTTTTACTGATAAGATTAATTAGATTTACACTTCACCATCCTGATCTACTTCGTGAGTTCAAGGACACTGTGGTAGTTTGAATGTGATTGGTCCCCCAAATCCTGTAATCTCATAGGGAGTGGCACTATTAGGAGGTGTGGTTTTATTGGAGTGGGTGTGGCCTTGTTGAAGGAAGTGTGTCACTGTGGGGGCGGGGTTTGAGGTTTTATTACTAAGGACACCACCCAGTGTGTCAGTCAACTTCCTGTTGCCTGCAAGATGTAGGACACTTGACTATTTCTCCATCACCACATCTATCTGCATGCTGCCATGCTCTCTTCCATGATGGACTGAACCTCTGACCTGTAAGCAAGCCACCCTCAATGAAATGTTTCCTTTATAAGAGTTGCTGTGGTCATGGTGTCTTTTCACAGCAATAAAAACCCAATCTAAGACAGACACTCAGTGAGATCTCTTCTCTCTCTCTCTCTCTCTCTCTCTCTCTCTCTCTCTCTCACACACACACACACACACACGCACACGCACACGCACACGCACACGCACACACACACACACACACACACAGAGTAGTCGTAAGTTTCTCCGGCCCCACCCACGCGGTGGTCTCGCAGCTGTTTATAAAATAATCACTTAGAGGCTTAATATTAATTACAAACTGTATGGCCTATGGCTCTGGCACATTATTAACTAGCTCTTAGAACTTAATTCAACCCATTCCTATTATTTTATGTCATGTGGCTTTGTGGCTTACTGGTATTATCACATCTTGCTTTTCCTCCTGGAGGTTTGCAGCCTCTCCCCCTCCCCCTTTTTTTTGGGGGGGGTCTCTTTAGTTTGAATGTACCGCCTAACCTTATTCTGCCTCGATATTGGTAAGACATTTGTTTATCAACAATAACAGCTTTATTTATCAACCAATCAGAGCAATACATATTCACAGTGTACAGAAAGACATCTCACAACAAGAGAGAGATAGAGACAGAGACAGAGAAAGTAAAGAAAATAGAAAGAAATAAAAGCCATGCATGATTACCTCATATCTGTAATCTCAGCATCCTGGAAGCTGAGGCAGGGAGATTTCTTTTTTTTTTTAATTAATTAATTTATTTTAAACAGTAAATATTTTCTCTGTAGAAAATAGTATAAATGACAACATTTCCCAATAAGCCCTTTTAAGCCACAGAGATAGGGTTTCTCTGTGTCGCTTTGGAGCTTGTCCTGGAGCTCATTCTATAGACCTCAAACTCACAGAGATCTGCCTGCCTCTGCCTCCCAAGTGCTGTGATTGAAGGCGTGTACCACCACCACCACCCGGCGGCAGGGGGATTTCTACCAACTGGAAGCTAGGGAGTTCAAGACCAGCCTGGGCTACAGAATGAGGCTTTCATTCTCTCTCTCAAAATAAATAAATAATAAATCACAACAATCATAAAAATACACATGCCTAACAACAAAACTTAAAAATGTATGTGGTAAAGAGTCAGGGGAGATAGGTCGGCTGGTGATGAGGACATGCTCTCAATCCCCAGGACTCACGCAGAAAAAGCCAAGTGTGGTGCTGATGCCCTTGTGATCCCACTGTCGGGGACTCCGAGGCTGATGGATGATGGATCCCTGGGACTTGCTGGTTACTCAGCCTGAATTCTAGGCCACAGAGAAACCTTGTCTCAAGAAAAAGTTGGATAGTGTCTGAGGAATGATACCCAGTTCGTCCTCTGACCTCTGAAAGCAACCAAACACACAGGCAGGTAGACACACATACACATAAACACTACACACACACAACCTGTGTGTGTGTGTGTGTGTGTGTGTGTGTGTGTGTGTGTGACAAAAACTGACCAAATTAAACATTCATTGGACAATTCCACCACCATACATGAAGATTTTAATGCTCTTGTCTCTGTAATTGCATGAATAACTACACAGAAAGAAAATTCTGCTAGACATGGATGGCTCCTGTTGTTGTTAGGAAAGAGGAGGTGCCACAGGAGGGACCCCAATATACCTCCCAAATCACATAAAAGTTTTCAAAGTGAGTAGATATGACAGATTTCTTTCTTTCTTTTTTTCTTTCTTTCTTTCTCTCTTTTCTTTTTTTTTTTTTTTTTTTTTTTTTGGTTTTTCGAGACAGGGTTTCTCTGTGTAGTTTTGGTGCCTTCCCTAGATCTCGCTCTGTAGACCAGGCTGGCCTTGAACTCACAGAGATACACCTGCCTCTGCCTCCTGATTGCTGGGATTAAAAGCGTGCACCACCATCATCCGGCTCAGACTTCTATTTTTATCTCTCTAAATTTAATTTTTGAGACAGAATTTTACCCTGTACACCTCAGGCTGGCCTCCAACTCACAATACCCCTGCCTCAGACATACTTTGCCTGCAGTGTTCTTGTTTAGTTTCTCTGCCTCCTAAAAGTACCCAAGGTCTTTGTGCCTGTCCCAGATTAAGTCCCTTCTCCTTCCATCATAACAAGAATCATTCATGCTAAGCCCTCCTTCTGCTTCGTTCTTTCACGACACAAGCTGCAGATCTTAGCAGTCTTAGCCAACAGATGGCTTGTTTATTGCAGGTTTTGTTCGGCTAATGGACTAAAATGATGGCATAAATAGGCCACGGCACTTTCATGTTTTCTCATCTTCAAAAGACATACATAACACAAAAACAGAAAAAGAGACAGATAAAGTTGGTAAGTTTAGACTGCAAACTTGGTCTTTCAAAGAAAAGAAACCCTTCAGAGAGGTTTTCACATCCCCGCCCCCAAGTCCCTTGTGTCTGTTGATGGACACAGTCTTTGACTCTGTTTTATGAAGAATAGATGAAAGCACACAGTCAGCCCTGCTGCTCCTCACAGGAGAGCTGTCTCTCCCCAGGTAGCGGAGTGTAGCAGCTGGCACTGGGCTCTGTCCGCTCCCAGCCTTTGGCTGTTCTGGGTTTTGGACGGTGGCAGACAACGGTTCTAGACTGTTACCTCCTTTCCAGCCCCCACCCACCCACCCAGGGTTAGATGGCCCCTCCTATTTCACAGGCCCGCTGCAGACACCGAATTAAATTTTCGTGAACACACTTCATAAATGTGTGAGGCAGAACATAAATATTAAGGATCAGCATGGGTTTTCTGTTTCATTAGACCCTACTTAATTAGAGAAGGTGACAGCCCCATTCTCGCAGTGTTTTAGCTCCTTTGGGCTTCAGCCCCACCCCCTTTCATTTCTAGTGTCTACTCAGTGCATTTCAGCCTTACGACTTACCAAAAAAAAAAGTCTTTTCTGCTTCCAGAGCACACGTGAGCCTCTGTCTGATTTCTTTTGTTCAGTCCTACACCTTGAACCTAGTGACACATGCTAGTTAAGCCCGCTAATGTGGAACTTTAATCCCAGCCCAAATCCAAGGACTCTCGTTTTGCTCAGTTTTAGTTTTATTGGTGGTGCTTGGGAGCAAACCCAAGGCCTTGTATGTGCTAGGAACATGCTCTACCTGTGAGTTCTGTGCCCTGTTGGTCTTGTATAAGTTAAAGCACAGTGTCTCATCTCACAGAGCCGTGTTTGTCTTATCCGGATGGGCTTCAGACCATTGAATCGAACAGCACAGTCGTTATCCCATAAGGCTTTTAATGTATGATTTATTTTAGGTTCTTTGAATACCTTTTCCTTTCTATACAGCCCAGGCTGGCCTTGAGTTCTTGGCCTTGATCTTCCTGACTCAACCTCCTGAGTACTGAGATTAGAAGTGTGAGCCATCATGTCCGCTCAGAAATTTGAGGTAATGTACTTGCCTACGTTAATTCTACTGTTCTCCCCAAGACCCTAAGAAATAGACCCACTCCTCAGTTCCCCAGAATGGAATATACTTTGCAAACCACAAAGGTATATCAGATGGTCAATATACCTCAGATACCAAAGTAGAGAAATATAATGAAAGGATGTTTATGAGAATAAAATTGATAGTGAACTATATTTATGTGCGAGGCTAGGCACAAGCCTGCAAATAACCAATACAGAATGCACCTAGCACATCCCAGGACCTGGGTCCATGGATCTAATAATACCTGAATCATCATTCGTCCAAAAGGTTCTTGGATCCGGCTTGGTCAGGATGTTGGCATGATTACACGGATCTTTCACCTTGAAAACAGAAGGGAAAAAAAACTGATGTGAAAATCCAGTCACCATGTCACTGGTTCCAGGCATACTGTTCTGTGGTGGGGATTCCGGAGTTAAGGCTTGTATATACAGCATTCTGTGCCTTATGGGTCACGTTGTACCCAGTCAAGAAGCGGAGACAAAGAACGCCTTTGCTCAGCTCACTTTTGCGTTTTTAGAAGTCCAGGATCCCACCTGGGAATGGTGCCACCCACATTGAAGTCTTCTCATTTCAATGAAGCTCATGGAGATATTCCCTCACAGGCACGCTCAGAGATTCCTTTCCCGGGTGATACTGGAGTCAACAAGTTAACATGTCACTGGTTCCTTATGAAGTGCTTATGAAGTACTATATATGAGAACCCCTTTAGTCCTATGCAAACTAGGAATGCTGGTCACCCTAGGCCTAGAGTAGTTTTGCCATCAAGCTGATAGCTGGAAAAGCAATTGGGGACTGGAGTTTAATTTCCCCCCTCTCTCTCTGTCAGTATTATGTACAATGTACAGACTACACAACTGTTGCAGAGGACCATAATGATGGCTTAACAGCTGTTGTAGAGCTGTTCATAACACAAATTGTAATTTTAGTAAATACTGCCTGTGAAAAATGCATATTAATGAGGAGAACTTCAAAAGGAATTCTTCTAGCCTGGCATGGTGGCACATGCCTTTAAATGAAGCATTTAGGAGCAGAGGTAGGAGGATCTCTGGGAGTTGAAGGCCAGCCTGGTCTACATAGTGGGTTCCAGGCTGGCCAGGAGTACACAGTAAGACACTGTCTTTTAAAATAATAAATAGTAAACAAAAGTAAGATGAAAGAATTCTTCTCTCATAATTTGTGAAGTCTAGGCTCAGATGTTAACTTGTTGACTCCAGTATCACCCGGGAAAGGAATCTCTGAGCGTGCCTGTGAGGGAATATCTCCATGAGCTTCATTGAAATGAGAAGACTTCAATGTGGGTGGCACCATTCCCAGGTGGGATCCTGGACTTCTAAAAACGCAAAAGTGAGCTGAGCAAAGGCATTCTTTGTCTCCACTTCTTGACTGGGTACAACGTGACCAGCTGCCTCGAGCCTGCTGCTGCGACTTTCCCACCGTGATGGACTGACTGTACCCTCAAACCTCCAGACTAAATAACCCGTCTCCACCGAAACAGCTTTTGTCAGATACATTCTTTTTTTGGGGGGGGTGGGAGCTGAGGATCGAACCCATGGCTTTGCCCTTGCTAGGCAAGTGCTCTACCACTGAGCTAAATCCCCAACCCCAGATACATTCTTATAGTAACAAAAAAGTAACTATAACATAGTTGCAGTAGAATCTTTATCGGTGATTTATATACACATATGTAATACTTGCTATTTAACTTAGAGACTCTAAAACAGATTCAATTAATATAGTCCTAAGTTTTTCAAATTCTCATTTCTAGAGACAGAAGCTCACTATGTAGCCCAGGCTAGCTTCACCCTTGTAGTTATCCTCCTGCGTCTACACTAGGTTGCTTATAATACTTTCCAAAGAGTAGCACTGATACATTTGGGGAAGCAACTTCATACTATTATGATATGTAGATCTCAAATATGTCTTTAGTTAGTGAAATGTATCTTAATGGCAAAATGGACATTCCACTTCTATGTATTTTGTAGTGTGATCATCTAATCTAATGACTGTGAAAAGTCTCTAGCCTCATGAAACACTCAGTGGGTAAATTATTTCCTTTATGGTAATAAAATTCTCAGCTGTGTCACTAAGGATACTGGCTTATTTTTCTGAATTTTTCTGTAAGACTTCCTTGGGTTGGCAAGATGGCTCTATGGGTAAAAGCCCTGGCTGCCCAAACCTGAACCCACAGTGTAAAAAGAGAGCTGATTCCTGGAAGCTGTCCTCTGATCTCTAAACATGTGCCGTGGCATGTGCACACACACTCACACATGCGTCATCGTAATTAATAAAAATTTTAAGAAAGAAGACTTCTGTGACGAAGGAAGTGATGTGTTAATTTATACCGTAGGACACGTTCCTTCTCTTAAGGAGTCACAGGAAAGGACATATGGAAATCAGGGTGTGGAGGTCTTTGTGCTCTGATATTCTTCGTTGCAACATTATTCACAACAGTCAAGATGACGGAGCAAGTCTAATATCTATGAATGGATGAATGGATAAAGTACCCGCAGTGCAGACTTACAATGGAATATTATTTGGCCTTTGAAAAGAAGGAAATCCCGTCACATGTGACAACATGAATGGGCCCTGAGGACCTTGGGCTAAGTGAAACAAGATTCAGAAGTGTAAACTGTTCATAATCCGGCTGCTACAACGTGAACATATTAATAGTCAAACACACAGAAGAGGGACAGGGGTGGGGGGCTTAGAATGCTGGTTTCTAGGGCTGGGAAAGGAGATTGGGAAATGAAGGATGCAAAGCTTCAGTCATTCAAGATGCCTAGGTTGTAGAGAACTTCTGTACCACACTATATCCATAGTTAATATTGCTATATTATTGTACACTGTACACTTAAATCTCATGTTAGGTGTTTTTTTTTTTTTTAATTTGTTTGTTTGGGTTTTTTTTTTCTTTGTTTTTCGAGACATGGTTTCTCTATGTAGCTTTGCGCCTCTCCTGGAACTCACTCTGTAGCCCAGGCTGGCTTTGAACTCATAGAGATCCGCCTGCCTTTGCCTCCTGAGTGCTGGGATTAAAAGTGTGCACCACCAGCCAGCTGTTATGTGATCTTTTTACAGTTTTTAAAAATCTGAGAAAGAGCCGGGCGGTGGTGGCGCATGCCTTTAATCCCAGCACTCGGGAGGCAGAGCCAGGTGGATCTCTGTGAGTTCGAGGCCAGCCTGGGCTACCAAGTGAGTTCCAGGAAAAGGCGCAAAGCTACACAGAGAAACCCTGTCTCGAAAAACCAAAAAAAAAAAATCTGAGAAAGATTATCATTCTATATCTGTAAATAAATCTGGCAGGCATGAAAACTGTTTGATATGTAAATATTCTAAATAAACGAATAGAAATTCCTGGCAATTGTAACACAGGTTTTCATAAAACCTGCATGAAACATGATCTTAGATGTGAAAATGTCATTAAAATTTAAACAGATTGGGTGGGGGGGGGTAGCTCTGAGGTCCAGTTCTTGATTAAAATCTGTGTGAGACTTATGGATCAAGCTTCTACCCTGGGGGTTTGGGGAAAACAATTGAGAGAGAGAGAGAGAGAGAGAGAGAGAGAGAGAGGGAGGGAGGGAGGGAGGGAGGGAGGGAGGGAGGGAGGGAGGAAGAAAAGCACAGACTAGAACCTTCCCATGCCCACATTTTGAGAATCACCATTAAACATCCTTCATATATATAAATCAAACAGCTCCTTGTGAGATGTTTCCTATTCAATTAGAAAGCTCTTTACAGAACGTACTGAGATCTGGATCTTCGAACCTTTGGTCACTGGTTCCAGTCTGTGACAGGGTCTTGCTACGTTGCTCAGGCCGGCCTTGAACTCCTGCCTCCACCTTTTTAAAGTGCTGGGATGACAGGTACATACTACCCATGCCAGAGTCTTGAGTTATACAGCACTCCCTACTTCTCTCTTTTCTATGTAGCAAATACCTCAAATATTTGAAAATGGTTATTCTATCTCATGGGAGCCTAACATTTCCAGGTTGATAGGCCCTCATCCCTCCCATAGTTCCCAGTAAATGGAGTTAACTCTCTTTACTGAGGTCACTGCCCTAGAAGATAGCTTCTCTGCAATATGAACTAGTCCTTAAGAACTCTCAGGCAAGTGTCAAATTGTCCCTGAAATTAGGTACTGATTTTGAAGGATAGCTCCCAACTAGGAATACCAGTATTCTATCCATCTGTGAGTAATTAACATGTTCTGATGTACATATAAACTTAACAACCGTAAAGGATAGTCTATGATTTTTACCACTTTTTACATTTTCTAATTGCAAAAATTTCTCAGTACTTTAAAAACTATAAGCCGGGCGGTAGTGGTGCACACCTTTGCTCCCAGCACTCAGGAGGCAGAGGCAGTTGTATCTGTTTAGACCAGCCTGGTCTACAGAGTGAGTTCCAGGACAGTCAGGGCTACACAGAGAAACCCTTTCAGGAGAAACAAAAGTCAAACAATAAAAAAACAAATAACAACAGAACTATACCAATATGGAAAATTACCATATGCAAACTGTCTTTCTACACTGTACAGCCTTGTGACCTTTGGAGCTCATTTGCTTATGAATGATTCTGCATCACTATTTGCTTTCAAAATTCTTTTATTTGGGAGCATTTCCTGCTCACGTCAGAGCCATCAAGAATCCCTTGTTCTCTGTGTTGGCGGGTGAGTATAACAGGCCATTCTTCATAATTCCTATACAGTGCTGCTCAAGTATGAATCCATGAATCATTATGCCCACTGTCACAGCTAATTGGCCGTAAGCCATAACTAAATCCTATAGCAGTAGGTTCTGCAGAGAAGTGAGAGAATTCATTATTGTGGATCCTGCTGCGTCTTCGTAGGAGACCTGGCTCTGGAGTCAGGTCAAAACCAGACATGCCCAGTGCAATAGGTCCTTTTGGATAAATAGTTAAGGAGATTTCTCTACAGGATTTCCACTCTGAGGATGTGACAGAGGGTGGCTAGAGGGAACTATAATGACAGTATGGAACTCTTAAATGTGCTACTACAGAAAATTTCAAACATACCCCTGCATTAGTTTTCTAAACCTGTATTTACCTACCATCCAGTTTAAACAGTTATCAACATCTAGCTAATCTATTTCATCACGGCTGCCATTTGTTTATTTAGTCAGCTTGTTAATTAGTCTTTATGTAGCTCAGGCTGACCTCGAACTCCTGATCCTCTTCTTAAGTGCTGCCATTGCGGATGCGGTGCTGGGGATCAAACCAAGCATGCAAGCATGCTAGGCAGACACTCCACCAGCTGAGCTACATTCCAGACTCTCCCTTTCCTATCCCCTCTCTCTTTCTT